ACTACAGCTTGCACCTCAGGTGGCAATGAGGTCATGTGGGTCTTGAGGATGTCAGTCAGGCCTGGTTCCTCTTGTGGTTGGGGCCCCAGGCCAAGGGCCTGCAGCTTGGTCTGGATGGTGTCAGGAATGACATCCCCGTGAGGACCTCTGCTGCCTGCTGTTGATCCTTGGGTCGACGTAGTGGCCTGGGTCGGTTCAGCCCTGGCGGTGTGTCCATGAGGGCTTCTTGGTATGTTGTTCGTGGCCAGGGTGTCGTTGTGGTCTTGGGTCGAGTGCTGTGACCCTGTCCTTTGCCTTTACCATTGGACTTGTTGATGACCCACCATGTACCGCATTTCCGACATCGGTTGCCACTTTGGACTTTGTCTTGCCAAATCCAGTTTGTGCAACTGTTCTTGGTGCATACCTGATAGGCACGGCGCCAGCTTGTGGTCATAGTGCCTGATGAAGCAGTTCTCAAGGAACTTGATATAGGCTTGGTTGTGGGTGTGGAGCTTGGCACCGGTCCCGATCAGGCTGAAGTGATCCACTTTGTTGTAGTTCCAGTCTCCTGGAGGTCCTCAGTGAAAATGCCAGGCGAGAACAGCCGGCCACCAAAGATCTCAACAGGAGCGGCCAAGGAGAGGGCGGATATTGCGAGCAAAGAATGTGTGGTAATTGGAGATCTCGAGGATCGAGGTCAGGTGGTACTCTTTGCTATGTTCGAACGGGCTTTCCGCACTGGCAGGACTTTGTGGGGTGCCTGCTTGATCTTGAGCCAAATGCATGCATGCGCGCATGTATGTATGAATGTATGTACGAATGTATTAATTTGATGTATTGTAATGTAGTGTAGTGTAGTGTAGTGTATATCTGTAATGTATGGTACGTACATGTTACACATGTTATGTTATGTTATGAAATGTTATGTCATGTTATGTTATGCATTGTTATGTAATGTAATGTGATATGTTGTGTTGTGTTATGTTATGTTATAGTATGTATATTACTTTATGTTATGTTATGTTTTAGTATGTATGTATGTTATACTATGTACTGTACTGTACTGTAATGTAATGTAATGTTGACGTGCTTTGTAACAAACCACTGTAACAGCCTCTAGCTTCCTTCAGATGTTGTCTCATGTCCGACAGGCGCCTTGAGTGTTCGAAACAAAACGTATCGACCGTCTTGCTGTGCGACGGTGTAGCATTCATTTCCTGGTTGATGTTTGGTTGTGTTTTCAGCTGACCCCGCATCTCCAGCTTCCACTGAGCAATCAGTGGTAGCGGAGCTCTGCGGAGGTCCAGCGCGCCATGGTTGACCCTTGGTTGAATCCTGCTGGTGATCCCTGGAGGCATTACTCTCCCGCCTTTTCGTCTGGGTCGAATCCTTGTTTGAGTTCCTTTGCAACGCATGCTGCGCAGGGCACTTCGGTTCCGACCGGTCTTTGTGGACGCTGCTTGGGAACAGGCACTGCGGGTGATCGTAGAACTCCTCAGAGCTATTCGATGCCTTTCATGAGCCCAATCCCTCAAGGCCCACAGATGGGCTTTGGACCTATGCCCCAACAGGCTCCAGGTGTCCCTTCTCAAGGAATGGCGCCCCAGAGTCAGTTGGGAACCAGTCAAAACGCTGGCGACTATGCCGGGGTGGCTGGAAACTTGTTGAATCGTTTAGATGCAACAACCATGAACACCAGTCCTAGACCTGTAGCAAGTGCCTTTGATCTTTTTGGAAAGCCTGCCAACTCAAGCTTTGCTGGAAGTCACCATCAGGCACCTGCGACAGCGCAACAACAGAATGAACTTATGTTGAAGGCTCTCACTGCCGCTTTGAGTGGAGACAAGAAATCATTGCCTTCTTGGAGCGGTGGTGTTGAGTCGCTTCGACCTTGGCTTCGACAGTTGTCGTACTGGGAACTAGACAACAATGTTCCCAAGGCTCGATGGGGAATCAAGCTCCTCCAATCGTTTTCTGAGAACAGTGCTCCAAGGAAGATCGCGGAGACAATCGACCTGTCCATTGTTCTTTCTGAAGCTGGATATGGAGCCATACTCGCCGAGATCATGGCCAAGTACGGCCCCTACTTGGAGGCCATCGGGCCTGCCGCAATAGATCAGTTCTTTTATGGTTTGGAACGGTCTCGCACTGAAAGTTTTAGCAATTACATTGCATCTCGTGAAATAGCGCTGCAAGAGTTGGAAGCACAGTTGGGAGAAAAAGTTCCACCTCGCATTGCTGGTCGAGTGTTGTTGCGTGGTGCAAACCTCACAGAGCAACAGCGTGAGAACTTGGCAATCAAATACCACGCATTGTTGACATTTGATGAGGTTGCCCGGGCACTACGTCCACTAGATCGACCAGAAGCATTGGTGAACAAAGTGAACAAAGCCTTCCTCATGCATCGTGAACCTGAAAAGGAAACCACCGCTGAAGTCTCACCGGACGAAAACGAAGAAGAGCTGGTTGAGGATTCAGAGGAGGATGAGCCGGAGTCAGACGGCGAAGGCAACTTGACTTTCCTGCTGTTTGACCAGAACCGTGAATACACAGAGGAAGAAACGCAATACATCTGGGCCTACAACTCTGCATACCGGGATGTGCGAAAGGACCTGCAAGCTCGGAAGAAGGGTCGAAACTTTTCCAAGCCGAAAGAGACCAAGAACAGAGGGGGCGCAGGCCGCAGGGCAGCCGGGGCACCATCAACCGTACCTTCTTTGGCGTGTGTTTGGAGCCTGATTCGTTGAGCTTCGGTACAAAACCGGAAAACGTGGACGATCCCTTCGATACAAAACCGGAATTCGAAACAGTGGAACATGATGAGAAGAGTTGCATTGAACATGGTGTTGAGCAACATTGTGTGGAACAGCAAGTCGAGCATTGTGTCGAGCGCGCAGTGTTTGTCAATGTTGCAGACCAACTGCAAAAGACAATCACAGCTTTTGCAGGAGTGCGTGTTGATGGCCGCGAGGCTATAGTTGACACAGCCGCAGAAGAAGCCGTTATTGGCTCTGGTGCTTTTTCACGACTGCGCACTTCTCTGGAGCGTTTTGGTTTGCGACCGGCATCAGCTTCTGGTGCCACGGTGAGCTGCTCTGGCATTGGCGGTTCCGCCAAGATTGCTGGTGTATGGGACATTCCCATTGGGGTGGCTCGCACCAATGGATTGATCAGAGCCACCGAAGTGGAAGACAATGGATCATTCGAGACGCCGTCCAGTGGAGTGAGGCCAATGCGCGAACGAGCGCGAACCCCCACAAGTCCCGGAGGCCCAGGAGCAGTTCGAAACCCACTCCAGCGGAGACGAAGCAGTGGAGTTGATCTCATGGGGCAGCAGCATGACACCGACCCCGTCGAGCCCAGGCGGGTCACCTTCGAAGAACTGAATGAGAGCACATCAGCAGCGGCCCCACCTAAAGGAATGAAGACTATAAACTCCCAGGCAAAACCCCGGAAGTCAGCAAAGGCCGCTATGCTGTCAGTGATGGTCATCGCCAGTGCCTTTTCAGGAACTCAGTCATTTTTGTCTAGCTTGGGAACGGTGGCAGTGAGCTAAGCTTTTTCACCACCAAAACTATTCAACTCACAACAAGTACAATTGAAATGGGCTGCGCAGATTTTGAGGGAGACACCAGACTCATGACAAAGAGCGACCGAGCCATTTTGGCAAGCTCATTGAGAAACTACCTCGACCTACTGTGTATAGCCCTCCTCGTTTGGTTCCGGCAGCGCAACGGGCTGGTTTGAAAGCCCGTCTCTCTATGGATTTGTCCACAGGCTATGACTTCCGAAAGCCTGAGGGCCTGAAAAGATCACGGCAAGAACTGAAACAACGAAGGCCAGCAGTGCTTTTGGCTTGCCCCCCATGCAGAACACTCTCTCCTCTAAGAGGCCTCTCCAACTACAAGCGAGATGCTAAGGTGGTTCGAGAGGAAGAGCAAGAAGGGGAAGCCTATTTGGAACATGCACTGGACGCCATTGAGTTTCAATTGAGCCATGGTAGAGGATTTTTGTTTGAACGCCCCTGGACCTCGCAAGCCTGGAAACACCCCAGAGTCATCCAGCTGCTCGAAAGAAAAGATATGTACATGATCCGAGTAGACATGTGTGCTTTTGGTCTCAAGGTTTGGAAAGGCCCCACGAAAGACCTTCTGGCGCAGAAGCCGACAGGATTGGTGTCAAACATCCCAGAGCTGCTTGAGTTCGTGGAGCAGCGTTGTTCCAAGGACCATCGACACGGCAAACTTTTGGGAGGCAACGCCGCCCATGCCCAGGTATATCCTCCTTACTAAGTTCATTCAATCTTAAGGCATCAAACAGAGCCTTGGCATGGCTACGGACACCAAGAACAAAGATGAGCTCGGCCGAAAATCGGGCAGAGCCATTGGCGCAGTTTTGCACGCTTTTGCCAAGACCAACAATGAGATTGAAGAAGATGCGTGTCAAATAGAGCAAGGGGGATCGTTCGAGCGCCTAATAGTCGGGCTTGGTGGCTCGCGCCCGACAGCCGACATCCCTCCGATGAAGAGCGCCTCACAGTCTTCCCAAACATCCTCTTTGTTGGCGAATTCATCCTCGTTGCATCGATTGAGGCGGTTATCAAGTATGACATGCCCCAAGCTTTCGTCACCTACCCTCGGCCTCAAGTCTTTCTTTGGAATCTGGGAGATGTGAGCGCCGAAGGTCAGCCTAGCAATCGCCTTGGCCCCAATTAACAGTATTCATATGTGTATATATATATATATATATGTAGATGCATATGTACACACACACACATATATATATATATATACATACGTGCACGGCCATGTGTATGTGCGTATATGTACATGTGTTTGTATGGATGGATGGATGTATGGATGTATGTATGGATGTGTGTATGTATGTATGGATGGATGGATGGATGGATGCATGCGTGTATGAATGTATGTATGTATGTATGTATGTGTGTATGTATGTATGTACGTATGTACCTATGTACGTAGGTAGGTAGGTATGTATGTATGTGCCACGCTGAGGTCTGGTGGAGGATGCAACAATCGTTGTGGAATCTACAAGGGCTCTTGGTGCTTGATGGAATCCTTTTCGGAGGTTTCATTCTAGGAGTGGAGCGGGCAATTCGTGGGAAATTCAATCTGGTTTTCCGGTTTCAGACCTCCAGGATGGAGAAGAGAGCACACAGTGGAGGTCACAGCCGATTTGTTTTTGCTGGTGTTTCTTGAGCAGTTCCCTGCAGGCTCTTCTGGACGTGTTGCAAGCTGCCAAGATCATTTTTCCGCTTTGGGTTCGAAACTTACCAGAGCATTGTGTGACAACAGTTGGTGATCTAAGCCGAAAATCGCAGCCTTTGTAGTGTTTACAGAGCTGACTTTGAGAGAACTGTCATGGAGTGCTGAGGTCCTTGCGCCACTGCTGCAGACTTTGACCAGAAGCTGGAGTTCGGGGCCGCAGAAAGAGTGTGATGATCGACAGTTTAACACCAAGAGCGCCGACCACTTGCGTTACTTGGGGAGGATTTGCACAGGGCGCTAATTGCATGAGCACCAGTTGTTTGAATGACAACCAATGCTTGGACTTGCAATGATTTGCAGCTGGGATCATGGTGGTTTTTTCAGCTCACTTTTGCTTAGCGTAGGCATGTGTGTGCTGCTGGTGGGTCAAGTCTGACCAGGAGTTGCTTTGAATGCTGCGCTGCACACATCAAGATTTGCTAAGGTGATGACACAATCGCTGCCATTGCTAGCATCCTTTTGGTGTTGCACGTGGCTTCCTTTCGCTACAAGGATATTCAGTGTGGCTTTCAGATTGCTTGCGCACAAACATGCAAGGAGTTCCAACCTTGCTGTAAACATTCGCATCTCCAGGATTCTCCGGTTTTGTCTCAGGGTTCAGCATCAACAGCTGCCAGTCCTGGGGCTGTGCGCTCTTTGCCGGCCTGGCACGTGGGTGAGATTCACACACAAATTTCAAAGCTATAGACCCGCCATGACCCACTACACTCCCTGATTTTTCTTTGCGCTGCCAGCCACAGCGAGTGTGAACAAGTTGTTGTCAGGGCTGGTGGCCCAACTGCCTTGAATGCGGCAATGCTTGCGGCAACCATCCTCGCCTCGCGCCTGCTGACTGCTCAAGAGGTCGGGATTAACGTAAAGATACGTAGAGCCTCAAAGCCTATCAGAACTCAGGTCAGGGATTTCAGAAAGAGTTTTGCGATGTTTTGCGCGATTATTTAGTCATGATTTTTTTGATTTTAGGGGAGTGGGGTCCAGAGTGGCTAGGGTAGCAAAGAAACACAAGACTCGAAAACGGGCTGCCAGACTTCTTTTAGGTTTGTTGTCCCTTCAAATTTCGCAAATATTTCCGAAAGCCAGCCGAAAGGCCCTTAGGCCAGGCTGAAATTCAAGGGGGTCGAAAAAGGACTGCTGTGCTCTGGGCGGGAGGGCAAAAGGGCCAGCGAGATTTAGCGGTGTGACGGGCATTGGTGATGCGAGTGGTGCCGCCGCAACTGATAATATCACTTTTTGCGCAATCAACTAGGCATGATGTAATCTTTTGGAGTGTTGCCAGTTCCAGAAAACATTTTATTTTTGATTATTGCTGACTTACAGTATTTTCGTTTATGTTCGAGTCAATCTATGTGTGCACTAAGCCGTGCGTGAAAGAAAAGATAGCGTGATTTACTGAGATCTAGACGCAGAGAGCCGAAGAAATGCTCGTAAGCTGCACTTTTCGGGTGTTGCCTTTTTGTTGTGTTTGGGGGCTGTCTCGGGGCAAAAAGGGCACCTCTGAGAAATTGGATGCTAGCGCCGAGTTTCCTGGAATATACCTTAAGGAGGAGGGCCATCTTGCGGAAAAAACAAGTACTTCCCGAGAAGTAGTGACACGGCCCTTGACGAAGCAGGACACAGCTAGAATGAAGATGCAGATAGGTAAAGGCGCGTTGTTTTACTTTTAAAGACACCAGATGCAGAGAGTCGAAGCCATATTTCTGGTTTGACGCGTCCGTTTTGGAGCGCAAAAGAAGGGCGCCTCTCAGAAAGCGGGTGCTAGCGCCACATTTTTCCAGAAAGCAACTTCAGGATGAAGTTTTGTATAGTTTTGTTGGTGCTGTTTTGAGCTTTGTTTGAAGGCTGTCTTGGGGCAAAACGGGGCAGTTCCGAAAAGCAGGCTCTAGCGATAAGACCCTGGACAAGGCAGGGCTTGGCAGATGCACCTTGGAGGGTTTTAAGGAAGGCTGGCTTTCGTCCCATCATTTCTCAGGTTCATTTCGGTTGGCAGAGATCATTTTGTGGCGTTTAAACTCAAGAGAGCTTTTGGGTCACTGCTGTGATTTTTGGCAGTAAAGCATGTGTTGGTTTGTAATGTGGTGTTGCCGGAGTGTTGCCTTGACTGATCATTGATATTTGACATCACGTGTCACACTTGCTCACAGCATCGTACTGTTTACAGTACTTGCTTTGGCCTGCTTGCCGGGCTGCTTTGGACTAGGCTGCAAGTGATGAGAGGTAGCGCCAACTCTTTGAATCATTTACTCTAAGTTGGAAACGTCGGTTGCCCAAAACATGACATCCGTCCATGTTTTCTTATCAATTGACTTTCATTTTGCCTCATCTTCCGGCCCGACGCGTTCTCATTCTCATCTCACGTCATCTCCTTCAAATCACTTTGCCCAATACCCCAAGATGTGGAAGTTGATGCGTTTTGATAAATTGTGTGTCCCAGCTTGGCGATAAATTTTGGGAAGTCGCTGCAATGTTGCCTCCTGCTGGTGTTTAACAGATTTGATGTTTTTCACGAGGTGACTTTGCCACGCAGCAAAGTGTGCACCAGAAATCCAAGAAAGCCGCCACTAGGTTGCAAACTGGTTGTCGCAAAGCGGGAACTGTTGAGGTTTTTACTTCAAATAGAGGAAGAGGTACCTGTGTGGCTTTGGAGCCTGCTGTTGCTGCTGCTTGTCTGCTTGTCTGCTTCCTCTACTGCTTGTTTGCTGCTGCTGCTGCTTGTTTGCTGCTTGTCTGCTGCTTGTCCGCTGCTGCTTGTTTGCCGCTGCTGCTTGTGTGCTGCTGCTTGTGTGCTGCTGCTGCTGCTGCTTGTGTGCTGCTGGTCTGCTGCTGCTTGTCTGCTGCTTGTCTGCTGCTGGTCTGCTTGTCTGCTTTGTCTGCTGCTTGTCTGCTGCTTGTCTGCTTTTGCTGCTGCTGCTGCTTGTTTGCTGCTTGTCTGCTGCTGCAGTTGCTGCTGCTTGTTTGCTGCTGATGGTGTTTTACATTTTCTTGCATTGACTTGTTTGACGTCCTGAATGCGCGGCGTCTCATGGGGAACTGGTATGGTTTCTGGGATTGCATTGACTTCTGCGGGCCGGTGTATGATTTCGCCTCATAGGTAAGATGTCAGAAATCCATGGAGCAACAGTCAGTTAGACATGTGTGCATGACCATAAGGTACTCCATAAGGTTTACGAACGATTGGCCATAAAGGCCCAAGCCCAGTTTGCGGAAAAGCGCACCGCGCCGTTTCATGGTAGCGGAGCCCTGGTCGTAAAGCACCGGGGCTCCGCCACCTACGCTGCACCACGAGCACCACGAAGAGCTCAGGCTCCACGACGCGAAGGAGGACGGCTCGATCCAGGGGTGGTGCATCCTTCAGCTCGATTTGGACCCTCGAGCTTCTTCTGCTGGCCGGGTCAGGAGGTGTTGGCACAGCAACATCTCAGGAGGTTCAGTACTACCAGCCAAACTCCATCCTGCCCTTGACCGGCAAGACGCGAGTGAGGAGGATCCACACCTTGGTGGTGGAGACTGAGGAGCACCCGAGCAAGATCAAGTGGATTAGGAGTGAGAAGATTGCAAGGGCCTCTATCGTGGTGGCCAAGAAAGAGGACCAGTCTGAGCTGAAAGAGGTGATTGTTGTGGTGCCAGCAAAGTGGAAGTTTGCGCAGCGCATTGAGGCACTGAGGGACACGACAGGAGAGGACGAGTTGAGTGAGCTGGTTTACAACTGGCGATTCTCGGACATCCCGGCCTACGCAGGGCTGGTATTTGGGACACCGACACCCCTTGCACCTGTGGAGACGAAGACATTCATCCCCAAGGTCTTCGGGTTGAAGTCAATGGCTGAGGAGAGTTTGAGGCAGGTGGCAACAGCCTTGGAGAAGTTGGCGCTGAACCAGTCTGCACAAGGTTGGGCGCGGCATCTAAAAGCACCGGATGTCTTCAAGCCCGACGGAAGAGATGCAGAGTTGAAGCTATGGGGAGACTGGAAGTTTGGTTTCCTCAACCATGTGAAGGGACTCGATCCCTCGATGGCGGCCAGCATGGACATGGTCGAGAGCAATGTGGACGCCAACTACAACTTCGAGGACATGACCGATGAGACGAAGGCAAAGGCCGTGACACTTTACAGCCTGTTGACTTCGTATGTGAGGCAGCGGCCACTGAAGTTGATTCGCCATGTAAAGAGTGAAAATGGGTTTGAGGCATGGCAGAGCTTGTTGAAGGAGATGCAGCCGGCGACGAGGGCCAGGTCACTAGCCCTCTTGAGCCAGCTAGCCCGCATTCAATTTGCGGAAGGAAAGACGGTGTCTGAGCAGCTACCGCAGTTTGAGGCTTTGGTCTTGGAGTATGAGCGCATCTCAGCCCAGAAGTACTCAGATGATGCCAAAGTGGCGTCCATCCTGCTGGCATGCCCTTTGCAGATCCGCCGACATTTACATCTTTGGCTCACAGGTACAACAACCTATGAGCAACTCAAAGACAGGATCACCCAGCTTGAGGCGGTGACGACAAAGTGGGATTCTTCAAATTCCCTGATGCCTCCCACTAGGACCACCGGTGATGAGGCAACCCCAAGGGAAGTGGACTACATTGGGAAAGTTGGCGAAGGCAAAAAGGGCCTGAGAAGGAAAGGCAAAGACAAAGGCAAGGAGAGAGGAAAGTATGGCAGTAAGGAGGCCTGTCACAAGTGTGGCAAAACAGGCCATTTCGCCCGAGATTGCTGGAAGCGAGTAAATCAAGTGGAGGAACAGCAGAACCCGGGGGGAGGAGCGAGCTCATCATCCACAGGCATTGCTGGAAGCACTACAGCTACGGCCTCAGTCAAGATGGTGAGATTGCAGACGCCGCCTGATGCTCCATCGCTTGAAGTCTTTGACCTTACTACGCCTAGGGGAGAACAAGGTGACAACTTCCCACGGCGTGTGGGAATGGTGTCAATCGAGCTCTATGAGGTGGAAGAGTTCTATGAGGCTGAAGAGTCCGAGTACCAGGACTGTCATGAGCCTGCGGTGGAAGTGCCAAGTGATGTGGCTATAGTGGCCATGGATCTGCAGGACGTTGAGGAGAAGGAGCTGACCGTGAACATGGTGAGGAGACAAGACCATGAAGAAGTTGGAAGCTGTCTGATCACGGTAGACAGCGGGGCAGACATCTCTGTACTGCCAAAGGACTATGCCGGTGTGGGAGAACGACAAGAAGACTTTGCTCTTGGCAGTGTGCAACACCCAATACTATGCGCAGGAAAGCTACTGAAGAGTGGATGGTCATTGTGTGAAGTGGAAGGAGGCCTGCGCCTCAGGCATGAAGGCCGCTCGGTGGACATCCCACTGAACATGGAGAGGAACTCATTGCAGTGCGAAGCGAGGATCTTCGCAGCGCATGAAATCGAAGAGCAAGTTCCTCAGAAGAAGACAAGTGAGGATGAAGAGGCTGCAGGAGTGCAAGTGCTACATGGCTACCTGAGTAAGTACGTCCAACATTTGGAGATGACTCCTGGATGGACAGACTGCCAAATGGAGTAGCAGTCTACAGCGACCCGGTAGCGACGCAACTGGTGGACCCCTCAGGCAGCATCGAGAAGATCTACAAAGCGAGAATGACGCTTGTCAAAGGGAGAGACGGATTTTGGGAGCAACTGGAGAAGACAGATGACTACAATCAGCTGGGGCCAAAGGCATTCCGCAAGATTAGCTTGGCAACAGAGCCCCAGAGGACTTTGAGCTTCTTCTCGCCTGAGCATTTCAAGGACTACTGGGAGCCCGGCAGTGAAGTACCAGTGGCACCATACCCTCAGACAGATGGAGCATTTGGGCACTTGGAATGGTCAGGGGACGAAGGTGAGGAGCTTGAGGAGCTGGAGGCACAGGAGATGTATCATGACGTTGAGAAGATGGTGGTGGCTGAACGACCGCATGAGGTAGAGTTGGACGAGGTCACCTTTTCAGAGAAGATGTCAGTGAAGGAGCTTCAGATGGCATGCAAAGAGCGACAACTGGCACATACCGGAAGCAAGAAGAAGCTGCTGGAAAGGTTGGTGGCTTTCAAGGTGAACCTCGAGAACCAGATGCACTTGGCAGTGGCAAAAAAGCTCTACAACGAGCAGAGGAGAAGGCCGGTGACACTCGGTCAACCCAAACTCCCGAGCTTGGCTGAACAGGAGCTACACAATGTGACGCATTGGCCATTCGCCTCCTGGTGCCAAGCATGTGTAGCAAGTCGCTCAAAGGAAGATGAAGTCTGAGAACAAGGAGGACATCGGAAAGAACGTCATACAGATCGACTTCTGCTACACGTACACGGGAGAAGAAGACCGATGGGAGAAGCCAGTGCAAGACAAGGTTGTGGAGAGGCAGGACCAGCACGGAACAGTACTGGTGATGACCAGCTCTGAGACTAAGGCCATCCACGCAGTTCCAGTGCCGAGCAAAGGCAGTGCAAGCCTCAGAGGAGATCGTCAGATTTGCTCTGGAGAATTCTGCCCGGGACGCTTGCGTCATCCAGGCTGACAGCGAGAGGGCAACCAGACAAACACTCAGGTCCGTGCAACAGGTCAGAAATGTGCTCGGCATGAAGACAGAGATTCGACTCACAGGAGCTGGACAACACGCCTCGAATGGTCAGGTTGAGCGGGCGGTACAAACAGTCAGAAAGATGGCAAACTGTTTGAGGTGGTATGCAGAAGACAAGGCCCGAATCAACATCGAGGGGGACCATGGTCGTTCAAGCACGCATCATTTCTGATCAGCAGATTCAGAGTGCTTGATGGGATCAGCCGGACAAGTTTCGAACTGGCCACAGGACACCCCTATCGTGGAAAGTTGGCTTTGTTTGGTGAAAGTGTGCTGTTCAAACGTCCAGTCAAGAACAAGGGCAGTGCAGTGTTTGAGAAGGGCGTGCGGGTGACAAAGCGCCCATGGAACGACAACCGCGTGTTGCTCTCCACAACAGGAGCCTACGAGTCAAGAACGATTCGAAGGTTGTCGCCTGAGGACAGCTTCAACGGCCCGGAGATCTTCACTGCAAAGGGACTGCCATGGAGCTACTCAGCACAAGGGATGCTGATGAAGCACGCCGGACAAGCGCAAAGATACAGACAGCCAACATTGGAGATGGAGGCCAGTGAAGAGGAGCTGACAGCTATCGCTCAAGATGTGGCTACTGGTGTGGTCACACCTGCTCCAGGATGTCAACCCATGACGCCAGGGATCACACTGACCATGGCTGGACCATCAACAGCTGAGGCGCCAAGGACACCGACAAAGTCTGCAATGAAGAGGCAACTGTCTGAGGAGGAGAAGAGTGAAGGAGAACAAGAGAACAAGAAGCTTGGCGCATCAGATTCTCCGAGGAAACAAGCAGAGAAGAGGCAAGGAGAGGCAGCCGAGCTGAAAGTGTACCTCAACCAGAAGGAGATAGGATGAGGACAGAAGCCGAAGGATCTCCAAGAATGTCACCGTCACACAATACAGGGCATCTGTATCCTCCGCACTACGCAGGAGTTGGTGCGATTGGGGTAGAACCACATGGAGATGAAGATATAGATATGGAGCTGATGCCAGAGGATGTGCTTGAGGAGCAATTGATGGGATATGGTGGAGAAGAAGGGGATGACCCTCCTGAAGTGACTGAAGAGGAACTGGAGCTGCTCGACAAGGAAGCGCGCAATACAGAGATCCAGAGGATGCTGGCCTGCAATGATGGAAGCGCAGAAGACAGAAGTCGAGCAGGATGAGGGCTACATCATCAGCGCGAAGATGGTGATGCGCTGGAAACACCGTCTGGAGAAAGGAGGATGGTTTCGCAGGGCACGATTTGTAGCCAGACAGTTCAAGAACAGCATAGATCTGGGAGCCGCATTCGCTCCTACATCCATGATGATGCTGCCGAAAATGTTGACGCGCTATTTGCTGAATGTGAGGAGCGAGTTTGTGGTAGTCACTCTGGACATCAAAGATGCCTTTTTGATGGCAGCGCAGCCGGCTACAGTGAAGGCCTACATCCAGATTGAGGATCGCATCTATAAGTTGCTCAGATGCCTTCCAGGCCAGAGGACAGCCGCATCGCAGTTTGGCTTGTTTGCATCTGCGCGCAGGGACTTTGGAATGCAGCAAGACCTGATGCAGCCCACGCTGATGCTGATGAACAACCTCCTGTACCTCACTGTCCACGTGGACGATGTGTTCATGGTTGGACGAGAAGATAAAGCGGGGGAGCTGATTCAATACTTCAAGGAGGAGAAGCAGTGGAACGTGGAAGAGAAAGGCCCATTCCGACAAGGTGACAAGTTCTTCTACTTGAAGAGGCAATTTAATTTGGGCATGAGGCACTGTGACATAAGGTGCGACAGCAGTATGACAGCTTCGAAAAGGAGGTCGACATCTACTCCAGGTTTTACAGAAAGACCCCCTTGGATGCGAACTTCACGAAGAAGGATGATTCTGCAATGCTGGAGGGAGCTGAGATCACGAAGTACAGAAGCATCGTGGGGCGGCTAATGTACATGGCTGGAGAACGACCGGATGCACAGTATGCCATTCAGTGCTTGGCACGCCACATGGCAAAGCCCACAAAGAATGCCCTGAAAAATGCTTGGCACACCTGCTCCTACCTTTTTGGGACAGGTGGATACGGAGTGAGACTTGAAGAAAGAAAGAAGGGCCAGTCGATGATGGACTTCAGAGAGATTGAGGAGGTGGAAGAAGCAGCTCAACACCTAGTGGAGGTCGTCACCGACTCAGACCGTGCAGGAAACAAGAACGACCGCAAATCAACGACCTCCATGCAAGTCTTCATTGATGGCAACCTCGTCGACAGTAAAGTCAGGAGCCAGAAAGCCAGGATCTACGGATCGGACTTTTGATGCTGCTAGCCACGATCAACAAAGTTGGAAGCACCCCAACCGAAGCGAAGGAATCTGAGGAGACAAGTTGGGTGTGGATGATGCTGTGCACACTTGCTTGCATCGGGGCCTTGAGCCTGGTGAGATGGACAACGGGCTACGTCCACGAGTTCCTCGATGGCATGAAGGCCTTCGTCCAGGAGATCGCGAAGGCCATGAAGTGGGTCAAGAGAGCCAACTTGAATGTACAGGTGGAAAGGGTTGACCAGGAAACCCAGGTGTCAGTACCAAATGCTCGACTTGAGCGAGAACTCGAGGAAGCAGCGCACAAGTGCTTCCTGAAGCACTGAAGGACACCTACATAGAGGAACTCGAACGGGAGTTGGATCAGATGAAAGAGCATCTGAAAGATTTTCTCACTGAAAGGGAGATTGCAGAAAAGTACAGAACCAAGCTCGAAAGGAGACTCCAGAGCTTGAAGATGACCCCAAGCGGAAGGGTCTTGCACTTCTCCCCGACATGTGTCAGCATTTTGCTGCAGCACAAAATGTGCGGTTGTGCCACACCTGTCTAACCGAAGGAGGAGTGTCAGAAATCCATGGAGCAACAGTCAGTTAGACATGTGGGCATGACCATAAGGTTTACGAACGATTGGCCATAAAGGCCCAAGCCCAGTTTGCGGAAAAGCGCACCGCGCCGTTTCATAAGATTTTTTTGCATTCATAATCACTCATTGATCTCTCGTCATATTTCCACATTGCCCATTCGCTCGAGATATCTGTGTTTCATGCCTCGTCATGTTTGCAGACAGCGCAAACTCAGTGACAAACTCGGCAGGTCTTTGCCTTTATGAGTTTTGCTATGGAGGCAACGGTTCAAAGTGCGAAAGGAAAACACAACGCAATAGGATGCAATGTTTCTTAAACAAACGCCTACACAAAGGCTCAAAGCTTCGCAACTTTTCTTTCTGAATGCTGAGGTCTTCGTGCTGCCAAGGAGAAGAATTGCTGCGTTGTTTCCTGCGTGGCTCTATTTCTTGATGACCTTGCGCTTTTCGCACTGCATTTTCCTGTCGCTGCCCCAAGGTCTTGACGGTGTTCGTCCTCTTTTTTTCCTCTTTATGTGCTCTGGTTATGACTGGTTTCACCGTGGCAGAAACTTGGCAAAGCAGCATTTCAGCGACTCATTGGCAAGATGTCTACATTTATATACAATTCTTTAGCACCAAGGCCGCTGCCTTTGTCATAGTGACTGCCATGATTGGACTTCTCAGCCCTGTGCCCAGCACTCGTGCTACTGGCAATAATTTCCAAGTAGAACAGAGTTCTTACAGTAGTTGCTGGAAATGATTATCGACCTATTCTTCTCTCCCCTTTTCCAACTTGCCAGAAGCCAAGTTCATTGGATTGATCTTTGTGACATTTAACACACTGGCTTCTGGAGGTCCCGCATTGTTCCTGTGCGTGCAGCGACACAAAGCTCAAATCCAGGCCATCGCGTGGGTCTAGGTCTAAGTTGTTGCAAAACTGTTCAAATATCTTCAGCGCTACTGGCCTTGGTTGCCGTTGCCCTTTGTTGCATTTTCACTTTGGTGGCAACAAACACTTGCAACCACTTGTGTATACTTGTGTAATTAATCATCCTGAACTTGGACATGGCAGGGCTTGTTGCATCCAGACATTCGCTAGTTTGCAGGACATTTCAATATTAAATTCAATCTTTGGATGAGGATCCTGGCCGTTCTACCGGTCCCGCAAATGGTGATGACAAGTTTTAAGGGTTTCCCACTTTTCAGCAGCTGACTATCCCACGGCTTCGTGTCGAGGTGAAGGTTTTCCTCATACGAAACATGACTGGCATCATTTGGCACTTGCTTCACTTGCTTGAAACAAGAGCTTTTGCCTTTCTCGAGATTGCCCCCGAAGCTTGTTGCCAGGGACCTTGGGACATTGCCCATGTAATGCCTTCGCTTGGACGATCTCAGCATCTCAAATAATGGAAGCTGTCATCATTAGTAAGTGCAGGCGGAAATCATGGACAGCAAGCAAATGATATGGCTTGCAGGGAGTTCTTCACGGCTAAAAGAGATCGCTTTTTCTTTTTTAATAGTTCTCTTTCTCTTGACTTGAAACAAGCGGCAGCTGCTGTCTCCATGCGTCGTAGTCTAGCAGCATGTCAGTACTTTCCATGTGCTGTGTATGTGCAGCTATACAGCCCTTGTTTCTGCAATACAATGAATTACTAAAATGCTGGTGATGTATCTTCTTGTCATGCTTGCGAGCTTAGCAATGAGAGTAGGAGTAGTAGTAGTGGTGGTAGTAGTAATTGGTAGTAATTGGTAGTAGTAGTAGTAGTAGTGGTGGTAGTAGTAGTAGTAGTAGTAGTAGTAGGTAGTAGTAGGTAGTAGTAGTAGTAGTAGTAGTAGTAGTAGTAGTAGTAGTAGTAGT